GCTCCAAGCAAAATTACTGTATCCTTGTCAGCATCTCTTGAGAAAACCTGAAAACATGACAAAAAACTTAATAAAGAGTTCTAAACAACTGATTTCCCCAAATAATACAGTTAGGTAGGTGGTTGTAGGGCATCTTCTCAATTACCTCGATCAAACTCTTGTCTACTGTAAGCTTATTAAGTGTGAGAGTGCCAGTCTTGTCACTACATAAAACATCCATGCCAGCCATCTCTTCAATGGCTGTCATCCTCTTGGTGATAGCACCTTGCTCGGAGAGCCTGTGGGAGCCAATAGCCATTGTCACTGACAACACTGTTGGCATGGCGATGGGAATCCCTCCAATGAGGAGCACCAAGAGATTGTCAATGCCACTCCTGTATTTGCGGCGCTGAATTGGATACATGACAACAATCTCGATGATCATTCCCACAGCAATTGAGCAAATGCAGAAATTTCCAATGGCTGTCAACACCTGATAGTTACCACAGAAAGTGACAAGTCAACACAGACAGATAGTACAAAAAATTGATAAGATAGGAGGAGAATGAGATAGCAGTATAGTACAAGTACCTTCTGGAAATGGCCGACTTGGTTAGTGCTGTCGACTAAATGAGCAGCCTTACCGAAGAAGGTATGAACCCCAGTAGCGATTACAACTGCTTCAATCTCTCCTTGCTTGACTGTGGAGCCAGAGAAGATTTCATCACCAGGGTTCTTAGTAACAGGCAATGACTCACCAGTGAGAGCAGACTGATCGATCTTGAGGGCATCTCCTTCTAAGAGACGAGCATCAGCTGGGATGATGTCTCCTAGTTTAATGCTGATTATATCTCCTGGTACCAGAATGCTAGCCTCCACTTCGGACCACTTTCCATCTCTCATAACCTGCATGCCAATCACTCACAAGTTACACAGCAAACACATTAATGAATAGCTTGCAACACCTTCACCATAATTTATGATTGCTAAGTATACCTTGGCTTTGGGAGCAAGCCCTGCCATGAGCGCTGCTGCGGCATTGCCTGCGTTGTTTTCTTCGATGAAACTGATGGTTGAGTTAATAAATAGCAACACCACGATTCCCAAAAAGTCTTGCCAGTCTGGGGGCTCACCCTGCATGTTTCAAGACAGAATGAGAAATGAGAACAAATCCCAAAACCAAGCATTCTGTTTTATTTCCAAGTATTTATATTCAGAAGGCTGTACCCCTCCGTTTGCCAATGCAATGGCCATGATGGCAGCGGCTTCCATGACCCATGAGAGAGGGTTCCACATAAAGCCCAAGAATTTCAGCAACTTGCTTTCCTTCTTTTCTTCCAACTTGTTTGGTCCAAAAACTTGCAACCTCTTCTGGCCTTCCTCATTCGTGAGACCCTCCTTGGTACAATTCAATTCTCTGAATACTTCATCCACCGGAATCCGCTCCTGCAATACACAAAAACACGTTGCATTGTAACAACATAAATCTGACAACGTACTTCTACAAGGAAAGAAAGAGAAGCAGAATACTAACGAGATCCACTGCCTCATTCTTGATATCTTCGAGACCTCCCATGTTGTTAGTGTTGTTAGTGAGTTAGAGAGTGAGTGTGTTTATTGATGGAGAAAAGAACAGTTGGAAAGCATAATTTATACTGGCAAAGGAACAGAAGAATGATAGATATTTTCTCTCACAGTGTGTCAGAGAGAGTTTCTCTCCGAAGAGTTACTCTGAAATCACTCCGTCCCACTCGTTCCTTCACTAACAAACTCGGTCTGTTATCTTGTTATCTTTGTTTGTCTCTTCCACGTATTTTGCATAAAAATATGGATACTAAAATAGCCGAACACCGGAACTCGCGCTGTTCCCTCGCTTCCATCACCCGCACCACGTGCCACCCAATCTCATCATTCTCTTTTCTACCATCATATACATACATTCTCGTGGTCAAACCATACCCATGCAAATAGGCCCAGTCCAATTCAAACTCGGCCCAAACACCTTTCCACTAATCTCATGGCCCAAGTAAAATTATTTTTTCATCTTTTCTTCACACAAACCGAGTCCACAATGGTAGTCTTTCAAAGACAACAACGGAGTTTTTTATCTTAAGGACATGCTTTCAGATAACATTAAAAAACAATGTCTGTCCCACGTAAAGGAAAGAACAAAAATAAAATTGTTTGGTTCATTATTGGATGAATGAACCAAACGTTGGAGTAGAACAAGAGCTGTCATTAAACTATTCTTTTTGGATCTTAATTCAACATGACTGCAAACATTTGATTCCGGGTGTTCGGTTATGTTGTTCCAAGAACAGTTCCTCTCTTTATCTTCCACTTAGATTCAGGCCGAATCGATTGAAGGCCTATTACGTAGCATCATAGCTAGGTTTTAGAGTGATTTATGGTATCCTTCTATTTGGGGAAGGGAAGAGAAGAGGAAGCGCTGGTCAAGGCAAAACATCTCATCAAAGAGATTATTCAGCTACACCGAAATATAGTTTTCATAGTCATGTCATTAAGATTATCAAATTTGTGCTTTTAAACGGTTGTGGGAGACAAAATCAATTACCAGATAGATGAATAATCATTAGGCATGAGGTTATAATAGTGGAAATTTTTGTCCCACCCACCTTTACAAAGATTTAAATTTACGAAAGTTAGATGAACATGGTATTAAAAAATGATGAATCAGAAAATTTTAAGATTATGCCAGCCATTCTTTTCACCCCGTGACCATATTTCGCATGCAAAAAGAACCCACTTATCTGTTTACATAATTACATTAGATGATAATCACATTCAGAATCTCCCAAGTGTTATGGTTCAACATTTTAACTCTGTTTATTTCCCCTCCCATAGCTTCATTTTTAGTTTTGTACTCGATATATCTGGTATAACATATGGCTTCAAAATGTGCATTTATCTCAATGTATACGATCACTAGCTGCAATGTTTGACACTGTATCTGTAGTATTGCTCTGCAATCAGAACAATGATGTGATGATGACTTTGGCATGATTGCAATTTGAAGGGACACACTGGTCCAAGTTGTTGGAAACAAACATTGTCTTGATTGTAAGCATGGAGGACATTCTCCATGCACATGTTTAAAGTTGCCGGCTGAAGAATTAAGTGCATCGCAAAAGTGACTGATAAGGTTACAAATTTGTATTTTTCCTCTAAAAAAAAAAATCTAAGTCAGTGAAAGAAAATGGGAAAGACATTATGTATTGTACCACCAAGTTTTATATATATGAAAATGATGGTAAGAAACAGAGCAACCATGAGAATCACCTCAACATTTTTTACATAATTAACTGGTTCTTCTCACAGCTTCACGTTGTTAAAGACATGTATTTGCTTTATCATATTGGCTCCAGTCAATTCGACCATAACATGCATGAGAAATAAACTAAAAAGTGACATATTCAACGTTTTGGTACATTAATTTATACAACATTAAAAAGTGACGTGTAATAAATTATAATAGAAATAGATTAAAAAAAATGTTGCAACAATTTTTATACAAATAATGTATTTGAAATTCAATTTTAATAGGATAAAGTGTAGTTATTTCTCTTTTGAAGCTTTCTAAAGTGATTGCCGGTATTTTTTTTATTTCTAACTTATACCAAACTTTCATCTCTAACATCAAAGAAGGAATATGCCTCACATGGTTGAATAAAATGAGAAGTGTAAATTATAATTTTTTTATTTTTATAATAATTAAAAATATATATTATTTATTTAAATTTAGATAATTATGGTAAAAATATCGTTAATATTTAATATTTTATTATATTTTATTTTATATATAAATAGAATAGGGGAATAAAATATATATAAGAGATATATTTCATATATAAAAATATATATATGCAAAAACCATAAAAATTCTAAGATTATGTTTATTATTATCAAAGTTTCTTTGATCTCGTTTACTAGATATTTTCTTAATCTATGAGGAATATTGGAGAGTCATCGTAGTTGAATTATCCTTATATTGTTAGTTTGGTGATTCAAAAGATCACAAAATACCTGAAAAACTTAAATGAGATTAATAAGGAGTTTCTCGTGTTGAATGAGGATTAAAGATTACAAGAGTGTAATTTCTGTATTTTGATATTAAAAGGGAAAAAAAAATTAAAAGGAGTTGTGAATGGATATGTGTTGCGGTTAGTAAAAAAGAAAAGTAAGTGGGTCAAAAGTTGTGTTTTTGGAGGAAGAAAGGATAAGGGATGGAAGGATAGTTCTAAAGAGAACAGAAAAAAGCAAGTGGGAAAACAATAAGAATGTTTATTGTCTGACAAGTAATGCCCATCTCCTCACTTCACATTGACATTGACATTGACATTGACACCCTCTGTCATTCATATTTCCCAATTTTTGTAATGTTCACATTTCTTGGAGACACACACCAAACCAAAATATTGACATCATGTTTAATTTGGACAGTTTTTTTATGATCCCTCCAGGTGCTTGTTAATATCCACTCCACCGCCTGCTACTGCCAAAATGGTTGCACCAACCCTTTGTCAATAGTTCGTCTTTATCTTCATCATGCAATGCTTCAAGTTTAACAAAGATCAATTTTACTCCTTATTATAATGGTTGTTCAGCAAATAAAAACGCGGACATAAATATAATGAATGACTGAGACAGCATATGTCCCACTTCTATGTTGCGCTTTTGAAGAGTATTAATTAACCAGATATAAACAAAAATAGAAGTAGGAAATTTGCAGTCTTTTGATGTTACTGATGCTATCTAGAATATATAGTCCACATTATATATGCATGCGTTGGTTTTTGTATGATTGATTACATTCTAGTTCCACATGCTTGACCATTAATTGGAGAAGTGATTGAAACTCATGGTGAAAACTCTGCTATGGTACTAGAGTCTAAAGCTCACTATAGTTTATTACACGGGGCATTAGTAAATAGTACCATCCCTCCCCGTGGAAAGAGGTCTGCTTTGGCCTATATGGAGAATGGTTGCTACGTTTTAAGACCTTAGCTAGACTGAGTAACAGAACAAAACTCCATTGACCCATAATGAAGAAGCTCCTGTATCATCTGTTCAATGTGATCATCTTCAAGAACTGGCTGAAATTGTTGCTGTTCTGCTTCTCCCACTTCAACATGGTCTTCTTCTAGCCACTGCACTTCCTCGTGTCTTTTCTCTGGCCATTTAAACCCTGTTGTGTCTGCACTCGTTCCTGCAATGGTGTGGCCTGAATTGGATGACCCTTCAGCCTCTTTCTGCGATTGCTTCTGCTTGCTCATTTGAAGAGAAAGAGAGGCCATGTGACACTTGTGTAGCTTCGCAGTCAGAGTAGCAGAAAGGAGCTTCGATGAACATGATTGTGGCTCGTTGGGATTGTAAGGGAAATTGGTGCGTGCTTTTGGCCCGCACATTAACCTTGCTGCTTCATCGTACGCTCTGGCTGCATCTTCCGCTGTTTCAAACGTTCCTAGCCATATTCTGGTCTTCCTAGAAAAACCAAACAACAACGTTAATTAGTATGTTACGTCACTTCAACACACACACACACACACAAGAAATGAAAGTCAAAGATTGTAGCAATTTACTTTGAACAAACACGAAAACACTATATTACATAGAAGAACTAAAAGTTCACATGACAGTGAATTGAAGAAATAAATAAATAAAAAAAGGGTTATTTGGGAAGGTTTAAAAAGAAAGAGTGAGCATTACAAGAGAGGGTGGCGAATTTCAGAGACCCAAGAGCCCCAGTGCCTCTGGCGGACACCACGATAGCGTTGTTGGGGTCTAGCCATGATGGAGATTGGTGCTTCAAACTTGTTGGTGAAGCGTCTTTGAGAATGTGAAAGTGAAGTGGTCATGGCGAGGAGAGGGTGGTAACACTCATTTATATAATAGTCTTTTGCGGCTTTCTCCTCTATGAAACCATGGCCCCACCAAGTTCCCTCCTTTTCCAAGCGGGGTAATTTCATTGTTTTCACCTGTGGGTCAATCTTATTGAATCCGATTACTCTACCTCTTTTTATGCAGCTCATAATTTCAACCCATTCAATTCATTCCTAAATACATACATAACAACTAATACAAGCGTGTGTGCAGTCAGAGCCAGAGAATCCATGCTTTTACAAATAATATCATGATTCTCCACTGTTTGGTATGGTTTTCAAGAGATAGTCTTTTGGTATGAATTTGGTACAAGATTCAGAAAATATATATACTCCAAGGGCAGGATCTTTCTTCTCTGCTTTGACTTGATTTCAGTGTCACTTAATTAACAAATGTGATCTATGTTGGAACAGAAGTATATGCAAATAGCTAGGTATGAATAAGACAGACAATGATGATGCCTATATTATGAAGTATAGGCAGGACTGTACTTTAATAATAACCTTCACAAGTGGTGTGAGTGTATTTCTTTACTACTCATGATAACAAGGTTGAGAAGTTAGCATGTGGGAAAGGAACTGAGGATGTATATATATGTTGCCATATGATTTGAACATTTTTGTGGGCGACATGGGTACGTGGCTCACATCACAGCTTTCTTAGCCCAACAATGCAAGGTGATGATAGATAGAGCGAAGCCATGTCTCATCAAAAATTGAAGCCCATCCTCTGCTCTCGCATGTGTAGGGTTGTAGCTGCTATATTTGACCTCACTTTTCTCTGTGTTTCATTGGCAATGTCCAAGTTAGCAAAAACGTTGTTGATTCTGCATGCAATTCTCTTTCAACATTATCTTGGTCTTAATATGTGTTTTTGGTTTGATCATACAATGTATTATTGGAAGTGATTTGCTCTCTGTTTAGCACGATTCTAGTAAAAACAGTGAAATGTAAATAAATATCTTGTTATTGTTAGTCAGAATCAGAATCAGAATCAATTTTGCCTTCAAAACTCAATTTAAATTACTTCAGTTCTGAATCAGTTTAAATATGAAAGAGATTTTAACTCTCGTTATGATTAATTTATACTTCACTTCTACTTCTAGAATCTAGATGCCCAAAAAGTGTTTTGAGTGCCAGCATTTCAGCAACCAAACAAGCGATAAAGCAAAGGTTACGCGTGCTTTTTTAATTATGTATTGAAATCATAAACAAGCAGTGAGTGATGATTTTCAATGAGAAAGAAACTTTTCCATGGAAATATGTATGCTATGTAGACTATTTTTTCAGAAAATAAAAAAAAATATTTTTTTTTACATAAACTAATTTATAGAAACTCTCTCTCTCTCTCTCTCGTATAATTTCTCTATTTTCAATTTTCAATTTACATATAAACTCATACTAAAACAAAATGAAGTCCATGCATGCATTAGAAAGAAGAAGCTTTTGTCTTCTGCTTGTAGTGGATTTCACTTTCAACTTCTCATGAATCCATCTTAAAATACGGAACCTTAAAAAGTAATTAATTGCAAGATTTTAGGAGCTATAATATCCATGTGTTGCACACTTTTATTCATTAACTGTTTAAAGATCATAATAATTAAGAGGAATATTGCAGATTCATGAAAAATTATGTTATTTTCTCTCTTACGTAGCATAATTTGGAAACAGGGTATGTATGGCAAAAAATATTAACATTTCACTTTATCATTGAAAGATGATGATAACGCACGCAGTGATGGAGTTATATAGCTACAATAATTATACCAAAAAAAAAATCATCAATGATATATATCTATATATAGCAGAATAAAATCTGCATCATTTGAATATGTACGTGTGATACAAATAATTGTTATGAGTATATAATATGGTTTTCTCGTTATTTTCAAAAGAATTTACTTTTGTATAGCAGCTAAATAATAATCTATCATTAACAATAAATTCACTACACTTAACTTTCTCTTATACCTATAATTTCTCCATGTTCATAATAATGATACTTTTCTTATTCAATTTTTTTTTTTAATTTATGCCATTGTCCATAGTGATGTCTGTTGTGTCACTTTTAGATATAAAAAAAAAGTTTAACATACAAATATTAATATTATTATGATACATCTAAAAATATCACGATTCAATTAAAAGAAATTTATAAATATTTATTTTTCTTTTATCTCACTTGAACACAATATTTTATACAAAATTGTGAGGGGACATTGAACTAAAGTTAACACCCTCGTATAGTTTAAGAGTCTTTAAGAGTTTTACAATAAAATAAAAAAATTGTTTTAGAAAATAAATTGTGAAAAGTTCTCATAACTTGTATCAAAATATGCTTTTCATAATGAAACAAAAAGAAGCATGAAATTTTTCTTATAACTTGTATCACCAAACATCAATAATGAAACAAAAATAAGTATAAATAATATATATATATATATATATATATATATATATATATATATATATATAAACATGATTGATTATATTAAAATAATATTAGTTATGATAACGTATTCAAAGTTTGTTATTAAAAAGCTCTAAATAGATATTGATTTTAAAATTAATAAAATAATATTTTAATTAATAAAATATAAAATAAATTTATTTAAAAATAATAAAATAATATTTTAATTAATCAAATTAACATATTTTTTATTTATTTATTTCTACTTTCTATTTATTTTTAAATTTAAATAATCTTACTCTTTATTTTCTTCCTCTATTTATGCTCCAAATTCCCTCTTTAATCCAAATGGATGTTGCTAAAAATCTTCTTAATAATTGAATGAAAAAGTCACATCAACGTGTCCCAATAAATATTAAGCATAAATTATATTACAATTAATTTTTTTGTCTTACACGTAAGTGTTACTTGAAGTAAGATCACGATCATGGGGAACAAAATTTGCAAATTTCTTTGCTTAATTCCTCTGTTATATGAGCTTCACGTTCTAACTCAAATATCCAATCCTAATGTCAATATGTGAATTAAGATAACTGAAAACAATTACAAAATAAATAAATAACTCAAATATCCAATCCTAATGTCAATATGTGAATTAAGATAACTGAAAATAATTACTAAATAAATAAATAGGGTTAAATATGTTTTTTTGTCTTTGTACTTTTATGTGAAATTAGAAATAGTTCCTCTGGCAAAGTTCCCATAGAAAATGATTCATATACTTTTGTAATGATTTGAATATGTATGTACTTTAAACGGTGTCAAATATATGGTGACATGTCTAACCGAGATAATATGACTTATTCATTATTTGACACATGTAATTATTTAAAAAGAAAACAAAACTCTTTTTTTTAAAAATATAAATTATTCAACAAAGATTATTATTTTTAGAAAAACAAAATTAAGAAGTAGAAGTTTTTCTGTTCTCCTCACGTACCAAAACTCTTCAGTTTTCGTCACAACCACTTTTCATTCTCTCTTCTCTTCTTGTCGAGCTACTTTTCATTATCTCTTCTTTTCTTGTCATACACCAAAAGTCTTTTCTTTCTTCCCCTTTTTCTGGAAAGGTTGTATGAAGTCAAAGTGACTTTAAAGTTTGAGGGTTTCATCGGTTCGCTGTGGTTCAACCTGGTAGTGCGACGGTGGTGCACAACGGTGGTGCACAACGGTGGTATACCATCGGTAGGATTTTCATTTCTGAAAATTAAGATAGAGAAATTTAAATGACTTATAAATGACAGAGAAATTTAAGTTTCTTTTTAAATAACTTTTAAATGTTATAAATGCGGATTTAAATGACTTTTTAAAGTTTGACACCTTTTAATTTTATTTTTTTTAAATAATTATACGTATTAAATAATGAATGAGTCATACTATTTGTTTAGACAGGTTAACATATATTTAACACCGTTTAAAATAGGGACCTATTTTAATCATTTTAAAAATATAGGTATGACAAAGAGACTATTTTTAGTTTCACATAAAAATATAATGACTAAAATCATACTTAACCCTAAATATATATATATATATATATATATATATATATATATTTTTTTTTATTTTTTTTTTTTGTTATTATACACTTACTTATTTTTGTTAACAACTTATAGTTAAAAATTATCATAAAATATCTTATAAAAGATAGAAAACATGGCCTGGTCCAGTCCACTCAGACTTTGTGGGCCTTAAAAGTTGAAGGCCCAAACTCTTTCCCGTTTTAGAAGGAAACAATAGTGGCCCAACTTCTCCAAAAATGGATTCATTGATTTGATGATATAAGTGTTCTAAATTCTCCAGACATTCTTCCTTCTCTTTTAGTTGATGCCAGGAGATGTAGTTTTCTTCTTTTCTTAAGTACTTTAAAACCAAACATTTCTTTCTCAGTTTAGCAGTTTTAGGATTAAAATGAATTACCATACATTCAAGTTTTTTCATTTCATTCATTTAAATGAGATTAATTATGGCAAAGTTGACTCCTCTTCCAAATATTGATGATCCACACATATAATAGCTAGAGATAAAAGCCTCAATTAAAAACTACCCAATGACTTGAATATAACTTTCACTTATTTATCAGAAGAGAAACATAGTAAAAAAATAATCTTTATGTCACTAAATGGCATACATTACATAGAAGCTACAAAGTGAAGGAGGACCAAAAAAAGAAAAGGTAACATATGTGCAGTCTCTGCAGCCTAACTGAGATGTTGATGTCAAATCAAATTTCTTAGCCTACATTCACTGAGAGTGACCGAATATCTCGAGCTTGATTATCATATGAGAACTTATGAACAAGACGCAGTTTTTGCTTCAAAATTGAACCTAATCTTAGAAAAATGATAGCACCTCGTGGTCCATGTAAAGGTTCTTAATCTTTTAATGTGAATTTAAAGTGTTTGATTCTTCCTTGGTGGAGAGGCAAAAGTAAAGGTTCTTAATATTTTAATGGAAAAATGGTGCGGTGAAGACTGAGGCATGCCACCACAAGCAAAACAGACAGGCCAACCAAGGTGCTATGCTATATGCTACATTTGGCAACAAGATACCAGATTCCCATGGCTGTAAACATCACAGAATCCACTGTCCCTTCAGCATATCCTGTTATAGTTTGAGATTACTATGATTATTAACTGTTTTAATCACTACATTTTCAGTTACTTAGCTCCATCACAAAACGTATTTCATGATTAACACAAGATTATGTTGTAAACATCAGGCAGATATGGACCTACAAATTTGTGGGGTCTCCTGACATATCTTGTAGGTAACAAATGAAGGCGATCAAAATTGAAGCTTATGTATAATTAAATATTTCTTTTGAAATGATGTGAAAGCATAGCTGAGTGACATTGTGTGGCTTACTTTCACATGCCTTTGCCTCACCTACTTCTTTGATCCCAATAGAGATGGTCCATTTCTCCAACTGCAGGTGGGTCAAAGTAGGAGTCACTTGGACAATCACAACCATTTAAATTTTATGTACATTTGGTGGACCAATCTTGCATAAGAATTTATAATGACAGTCACTAGCATCCAAGTCTCTACATGCTGAGTAGCTTTTTCACCCAAAATGTGAGACAGACATACCTTGATCCCAACTGTCCTAGGTTGACAATTAAGTGCACTGTCAAATATAATATCTCTATCTTTTACTTAATGAAACTGAGAAAGGAAACTGCAATAACCACAGATGAGTGATGATATCGGACATCTCAATTCTGGGAGTACAAGATGCCTACAGTGCTGTCCAAAAGTAGGATAGCACCAACACATAACAAAGTAGAATCTTGACAAAAATACATTTACAATATCATTGGCTAGGTGAAATCAACTCCACTAATTAATTGATTAAGAATCTTGCTTATGTTTCTGACACATGCAGACCCTTAAATGGATATATGTGGAATCAAACTTTAAACTGCTTAGTTGAGAAATTTTGGCTGCATTTAGTTTCTAATTTAGTTTACCTAACTTTCCTACCCTGCTAAGTTTACGAGCTTTATGTCAAGATAAAGCTTCAACTCACTAATGCTATTGAAAACAAACAAACTTAAAGTTCGGGGGAAGATTTATTAAAATCCAAATAAACCCAGGAAGAATCCATTAATACAAATCAAAGAAAATATTATCAAGACACGGAATTTGGTTTTTATACGGCTAAAATGCATTTACAGCTGCTGGAACTAATGATACATGAGCACAAAGAAAAAGAAAGAAAGCTCTTGTTGAAAAGAAAAAAAGACAATTAATATGAGATATATATGAAATGGCATGAAGGGTTGCACTTAGAGTTTGAGGGACAAGTCAAGCTTCTGCAACTCCTCTTGTTTAGTCTTCAAATGGTTAATACTATCCAACCAGTAGCCTCCAAATCCCTCTGGCAACAGCCTTGGAGAAAACTTCCCCAAGCGTTGGATGCCACCAGCCAAGGGTGACTCAGTTTCTGCCCCAGTTGCCTGTTGTGAGTACAAAGGCCGCTTCTGCCAGCCATTTTGAGCATGGGAACGGGACAAACCAAAAAATGGTGTTTGTGTTTGAAAAGAGGGTTTGTTGATCATAGAATGCGCCTGAATTCCAAGTGACCTGTTATAGGAGCCATGCAAAGGCAGAGAAGCCATGCTGGAGTACTTGTGTGCAAAATCTATTGGAACTGCAGCACCAGCTTTGTGTCCTCTTTTTGCCAAAGTTCTTTCTCGCTTATGTGCATTCTGGTGTCCCCCAAGGGCCTGCGAACTATAAAACTTCCTTTGGCAGTAGTTGCATGAGAATATCCTGGGCTCCAGTGCATCACCGTGTCCTCCTCCATGACTAGATTCTGAGGAGTTCATGGACAAATTTGCATCGATACAGTTGATGAGGTTGAGTTCTGGCTTTGACTCATCACCTGAATCCAGCGCAAGGTGCAATGGAGCCGACTCATAGGCATGTTCTTTGTTCTCCTTCTTCTCCTTTTCGATATCCATGGAAGGTAGAACTGACTTTGAGCAAGGTGGAGGAGTCTCTGAAAATGGCATGTTCAAATCATTTTCAGACGATGGACGTGGCTCTGACCACATAAGGTCCATCTACTTCTAGCGAGGATAAAATTTGCAAGGATTTCCTTCCTATTGATGATAAAAATTTGGGTTTACAAGAAGAAAGATGACATTTATAAGTGATGTAAGAACAATAAATGCTGGTGTGTGCGTGTGTTATGTATGGAAGTAGCTAGTAGCTAGGCATCACTATTTTACAGTTACAATGTCTTAATATAGCAAAACCTAAAAAGCAAGATATCTGTTTGTGCTTAGAGAGAGTGAGTTATGTCTTTTGATTGGAACATATGAGGAACATCCATGTACAACTGTTGCTTGATCATTACCCATTTCCTGTTTTTTGTCTAACCTTTCTTTGTCTTCCCACTTGTCTTTCTACGTTTCTTGTCTTGGGGTCTGCCTTTTTTCGGTTTATTCATGTCCATAGTTTATGACAAGCTAAATAAAGTCCAAGGTAAGATCAGTGACCTGCTTTTGAAATTCAGAATAATAATGTAGGACTTACAAAAAAGTGTGCAGTTCTAAATTTCTTAATCCATGAGTTGGTGAATTTGCTGTATCTATACAGAAACTCTCTTATATCAGTTCTGTTTACACCACTTCATTGTATAAAAATCAGTCCAATACTCTAGTATGTAGGTAGGTCCTTTGTGGAGACTAATTTCTTAGAAAACAAATATGAATAAAGAAAAGATAACTAAAAAACACATCTCCCTTTCTAAAAAGTACTTATCGACTTGCATAATTACCTAGGTACTCAACTGACCAACAATGGCAGCTTGGTAAATTGATTGCTTAAACTTCTTGCAAAATTGTTTCAATCACTATTTGACTGATATTCACCAGAAATATAAAGTAAAAAAATTAGAAGTGGTGAGGATTCAACCAAAAATCACTTTTATAAAAAGCCAAATGCAAAGTTTCCCAAAATCTGTTGGAGCTATTCTAAATTGGAATAGAACCATGTTTCTCACTTGATATTTCTCACTACCTTGTTACAAGTTCCTATTGGAATTTGGAATCAAGTATACTTCGAGGATGTGAAGTTTCAAAAGTCTTATACTTCAAGACATCTCATTATTGATATGACATCATAGACTAAAGGAAGTTACTAGTATAATCAGGACCATGCAAATACTTTAATTTACCTTCCCCAAATATGATACTTCTCTTAACATCATATGATGCATAGTTTTTTTCTTTCTGGGAACATGTATAATATTGAAGCCTATTCTAGGAATTTCCGAAGGCAGTTTGAGGTCCTTTCATAAACTAGAAAAACATAAATATGAAATGAAAAATTCCTATCTAGACACAACCAATTCCAACTTTCTTCTTAAAGGGCTCCATCAATCAGTCATGTTCTTAATTATATAACAATTATGTTTCTTCTGACCCACTTAACATGCAGCATGCATGATTCCATAGAGCAATGAAATTCCAAAACACCTTCATAAAATGGACATTCCCCTTCCCCCCTTCTCTTTATAAAGTTGAATTATTGTCTCTCTTTCAAGTGGACTTGTTATTAGTTTATGCATAAAGACTGTGTTAGCTAGATTAGGTGACAGAGTGGGATCTCTTTGGAAAATGTTATGTTAGGTAAGTTTCCATAATAATTAAAGCTAAAGTTATTCTAACTTTTTTTACTTCTTTAGTCAAGCTATAATGCAACAGTCAATATATACGTTTTGGTTTTATATCATCAGGCAAACCATCGATTATAAATAATATCACTGTTAAGTTTTTTTTGTGAGGGATAACATTAGGTTGGTGTTTCCCTATGGAATTTTATCTTTAACCTAAAAACTTAAAAGATAATAGATTTGATACTCAAGTTTTCTATTACTAGTTAATGTGACTCTAACTCACAATTGATTCCAAGGTGTTAATCTTCTTAATCTATCTCAAGATGGTAATCATCTAATAATACCAAGAGCAAAATATGAGGTCCTGTCCCTCCCCTTTTCTTTCATCAAATCTTTCCCTTTCCTTAGGGTTGGACCTCTTTCTCTGGCAAATAACCACATTGTATTTTATTGTCACACAACAACCAATACAAAGTTTTGGACACAAGCGACTGAGGCCACAGGGTTGGCATTGAATATTAGTACAAGAGCTGTAATACCTAGCAGCAAGGAATTTTTTGAGATTTGATGGATAAGTAATAACTTGTGAGATATTGCTTACCTTTCTGCTTGTGTTCATGTTGGCTTGGGTTGAGATCAAATCCTTGAAAATAAAAGGACAGTGACAAGAAAAGGGCATCTTTTATTTTTATTTCTCAGAAACAGGAAAAACAGTTCTTACTTTACATGTTGAAGGAAGTCAAAATGCATATTTAGATTTCAATCCTATTTAAAATCACAAAGTGTTAAAGAGAGAGTTGAGAGTTCTGTTTTGAAATTTCTCTTCTTTGGAGCTAAGCTTCACATGAAAGGATGTAAAATACTAATAAATAGGTCAAACTGGCACAATGATATTTAATAAGTCAAAAGTGTTGCTCCTGAACAACATCCAATTAACCAGACAAGTTGGTGGGTGACGACTTGAGTTTTTCAAACTTGATATTAACTATAGCCACCTAATTTAATTCAAATCTTGTACATATATGTGCCAGGCCAACTGATTGCAACGTATCAAATAAAAGTTCTCCACCCAATTCCCACCGCACATTAAGCCACAATTGTATCTCCATTCTTTAGCTTCACATCACTTTTTATTTTGGAGCATAGAGAGATATAATACATCTAAATTCTTTCCATAATTATTAGCGCAACATCAGAGCCTCCATGACCGAGTGGTTTAGAATCAATCATGTTCCTTGCCCCATTTTTTCGTAAATAGTTGAATTTCACATTAACTTTTTTACCTTGAGCAATTTATTAATTGATATTTGTCATCAACTAAAAAATATTACAATATATATATTAACGGGTCAGGATTACCACTCACTACGGTTAACTTATCCTATCTTATATTTTACTACCCAAATACACACTAATCCTTTGTATCATCTTGTCCTCTAATCATATTGTATTTATATATATTTATTTCTCGGTACAACAAGTATTCTCTGTAATGAAATCAGCCTTTTGAAAATTGTTCCGAAGCTTATGTATAAACTGAATTATTTTTTAAATTTTATAAACAATTTAGTAATTAAATTTTAAGCATTGTTTTTCAGATTACATTGAAAGAAAAAAAACTTGTTTAAAAATTATTTAATTATTGTAAGACTACTATAAATAAATTATTTACCTCTTCTAATTATATAACTGTATGGATTTTTGGAAAAAAAGAAAAATCTCAAAACAGAATTTGAGTCGAATTAATTCAAACCTAACCAATTCATTACAGACTGATCAAGTTTGAATTCTGAATTTTTAAAAAAATTCATATCAGTCAAGAACAAGTGAAAATTTATTGGTTAAGATTTTATTTTAAGGCAAACCCGTTGCGTACAATTCTAGATCATTTGCCACACTGAAATAGAGCAGAAAAAAAAAATAGCGCTCATAACATTAATTCCGGACAGTCCCCTCAAACGACTAGGTTACTATCCCCTCAATTGTCCCTCTTAGAAAACAACACAGGAGGTTTTCATAGCACCAATAACATCAAGGCAACGTCCAAAAGGAACTAGCTTAGTCATAGCATGGACATGACATCATCAATATAAATTCGGCATGATATACTGACAAAACTACACTCATTAATCAACCTAGCTTTTCCATAAACGTTTCAATCAAGGTTTGACCATTGACTATTTTCGTAGTTGCAATTATCAAATCGTATGCCATGCCCTCCTGCAAAATAAACCACATCGAGAATTAGAAGGTAAGAAAAAATCAAAAAGATTTATTCATAATGCCCCATCAATTGGATACAGCAAGATATAAGCAAGAAGAGAAATAATTTCTACCGTGCAAAACATACATGGGATGGTCCAACAGTGAACCAAATCAAACACCTACGTGATAAACGTATATGAACACAAACTTAAAACACTTGGGATCACCACGCCATTGGAAAAAGATTTGAATAGTAATACAGTTGAAAATATATATTGTTATCCCTTTGTACCATTCTTGGGGTCATGTTATCACAAGTATGGGCCAGAAGAACGTTATCCTGATATTTCTCCACTGTTCTCCTGTGCTCACTGAAGAAAGAGAGCACCAGCCACATATTTCCATAATTAAAGACCTCCCTAGGGCAAACCCACCCACTCACCCAAAAATAAAAAATAAAATGCACATCCACCAGGCTCAGCCACACAAATTTAATAAGCAGAGAAATCTTTTTACCTAATATATTATGGACCAATAAGCATATTCAAAAAAATAAATTTAAACTTAATAGTTAATAACCCAGGATCTATGAGACATTAAGAAATAGGCAACAATTATGACACACCTGAGTGCTCAAAAATCGGAGTGCAGAAATCTCTGCAAAGGTAACACCCCCAACAAAGACAACAAGCACCAGGGCCCGTCTTCCATCTGGTACTCTGAAAGATAAGAAATGCCAGAAAAAAAATTACAAGATTTCTTCCTTGAAGACTCCAAATTTTAGTAAATTTTGACACACCAATGTCAAATGAAAACCGTCCAGTTTCAATAGGTTTACCTTTTAAGAACCTATCAGATTTAACAAGGCATTAAACAACACCTTTGAAATGTTTATTGTAGTGATTTAACCTTTGCACGAAATGATAAACATTGAAAATCCTGGAATTTATTAACTTGTTTCTGATAGCATTTTACTCAAGATAAACAGACGCAGAACTTTAAAAACTGGAACTGATGTAAAACATACTTAGCTACGCTGGATGAAACCCCTGATAAGGTGTCAAATGATGGGCTATTTGAGAAGCCGCCCTGCACAAAAAAATGACTACTAAGAAAGGTGAATGGAATGATAGTATGATGTGATTTTGACTCAAACAGTTAAATAACATGGAAACATGAGGAAAAACATTCATTCAGTCAGAGTTGACAAGTACTAACCCTCTTCATTTCCAAATGTGGTCCAGGCAATAGCTTCAAAATTTCTTCGACAGGACGCCTAAAACAATAACATTCAGAAATGTATCAGTCGGTCAACGACTAAGCTTAGTTCATTACCCAAGCATAGAAACTCATCAAGCAATAGATATAAACAACAAAAAGTAATTATATTGAATGCAAAAATATAACACAAGGGAAAATGTGAAATTTTAAGAAACTGTAATTGGGTAGTTGTTCAACATCAAACAAACTTCAATTTATCATAGTATATGGACTGTTTAGTGGAGCTTCGCTGCTGGATATGTAGGGACATTGGCATGCCTTGTTACATGACTCAATCTTTGTGTCTACGGGTTTCTTTTGTATTTTATTGTGAGAATGCCTCCCTCTATCTTCATACTGTCCATTTCTTTCTCAATTTGAATTCTTTCTTTAAACCATGTTGAGCGGAGCATGTAATGAAATGAGATTGTTGACAAAGTTGTAGCAAAGTAATGTCTCAAACAAACTGTGTTTAACATTCTAAACTAGACTTTATGGTCACCACAAACCCATTTCTAACAGCAAAGCATTTAACAAAAGCCAACTAGAATCTAGAGAAGCATGAGATGAAATTTACAGTTCCATAAGTTTAACTTCCCTATAAATTTATATACAATTAGTTTGTAGGTAATAGCCAAACAAGAATGTTAATTGCCAGTCAACAAGAACAAGGCAGACAGTCACTATTAGAAGTTCAGATGTACCATCCTGATCGAATGGCATGCTGGACCAGTCGAATGCTGAGTGGTGCATATCCAGAGAAGACATAAGCAATATCATTGGGGCTGTCCTAGTAGAAAACCGTTTAAGAGTAAGTAGGGAAACAGGACTTCGTAGATAATTGTATAACAGTTGTGTATCAAATATCAATAATCGATAATGACAACTTAATAGAGCTGCTTCAGATTTGAAATGCATACATGAAGACAAATTAAAAAAATACAATATACTAGAATTGTCATTAATTGCCACTGCAAAATTGATTAATGTTGAAAAGAGAAGTCTGGTTATAAAGCCAGAACAAATAAAACAAAGGAACAATACAAGAGCTAGCATGGTTAATAAATCTGGGAAAATTATAGTTTCAGCCTGCAAGAATAAATTAACCTTAAATGCGATGGGCAGATATTAGAGACTTGGGATGCTTAGTTCAACATTTGTTATCATTTCACGATGAAAATATGTATACCATATTTTATTTCAATTGCACATGCACCCACCACCATGTTTACATAGAATATCCAAATTGTGACCACAAACTTAATATAAAATTTAAAATATATCCAATGTCTAAGGATCACATCATTCGGAAGAAATTACTTGGCCGTATCAGTGTCTTCAACCACAAGCTGCAGCGCACGTTTTATAGTAAGCCAATTGCTTTTTGACTCCTAAAAGGATCACATGCACATTAAGTGTTAATTACTAAATAACAAACACACGTAACCCATTTGCATTTGCGACTAAACACCTATGTGCCGTACCTGCTTTTTAAATAGTCCAGCTTTCTCTAAATTGTTTAGCATTGCTATGTGCTCAAATCCATAGCTGTGGAGTAGTTCTCTCCTATAAATTGGAAGTTACAAATATACTAAGTACTCCAAAATAAAATCTGCTAGTATATTGTACAAAAATCAAATGGGAATAACATTATAGGTTAGGGATTCCTATGGTTCTATAAAGGTAACAAAATGAAAAAATAAAATAAAAATGCAAAAGGACAAGGTCAACGAGAAGCATGCAAGCTTGCCTGAAATAGTCGAAATGCTTCTTTGGCAACCCAGCATTAGTAATAGAAAATAGGATGAGAAGGCGTAAAACTGTTGTCAAAGGCTCCTGCTTATGGATCTGTTCTTCAATATAATCAAAGCATCTGCATATATGAATGACCAAAGTTTCATATTATAAAAATGACAAGTTATGTACATGCATCTGTGAACTGTAATGCCTCAACAGAAATCAATTGCATGCACTAACACAGCTGACGATATGATATAATTCGTTTTTGTAAAAAAAGTCATTTATATTCTAAAAGTTCATTCCATGTAATTTAAAATTCATCCATCAATTATAATTATAAACGCTGCTTCATTTATATCATATGCTGTAAAGTAAACGAACCAAATATTATGAACAGAAAATAAAGATTAGTTGTCTATTGTGACCTAAACTACCACATGGACTTATGCACATAGCCAATTTAAGTCTTAATATGCAAATTTCTACTAGCAGTCAGTTAATAGTAAGAGCTACTTGACGCATTACATTCGTGTTTACAAAAGGAACACAAAGTATGGTTGCAGTATCCCAAGGCCATGTCCAAATCATGTCTTTGACAGTAGACTTCCCAAATTGCATATCAGCTTTTATTCTCATGTTCAATGCCAATCCACAAAATTTTCCCTAACAAAATTTTTGAGCTGGCAAGTAAAACACAAGTGGCATTGGCCAGAACAAGTTAACCCATCAAAAACCTTAGCATCAGCTACCTACCTCCAAAACACAGGATATCACGACCTACTCAATTCATACACAGAGGGAAATTATACTAATTAAAATATAACACCATCAAGTATATAAAACTCTCTGTATGCAAAAATTAACTCACATGTCATAACTCTGGGCCTCCACAATTGTATGTTCGATATCAAGTTGCCCAAGAAATGAAGGCTTTGATGTGAATGTTGATAGATGCTGGGCAAGATTTATGTGCCTCTGGGAAAATTATTTAAAGCATATTACGATTTGATAGTCACTACGATTTCTTGATGAAATATCAAAATTATAACAAAAATGTTCTTACAGTTATCTCTGGCAATGAGTTCAGCTTTTTCACAAAGTCCTTCAAGTCGGAAACTGTCTGTGTCTGAATATCATGGAAAGCATTAGAAAATCTTTCCAAAGTTGTTTTAATTTTCCGAAAGTTATAAAAACTTCAAGTGCTTCTGAAATTTTTTGAGTAAACACAACTTATTCAAGCAGTATATTTTTGTTTTTAACATTGCATACATCAAAACAAGCATCCAACTACAGGAGTACCTATGAAAGATAAAGTATGGCAGAGAAACAGCTTGAAAACTTTAATGTATTATATTTTGGAAACAACAGGACTTCAGTTTATTCACTTATATTACTTTCAAATGAAAAAAATGGTTTCAATTACTTTTGCAAAATTGATAGAAAAAATAATGTTCAAGTATAAGGTCATCTACTTACAGTAGTTGTCATTTCTGTGTAGTCTTGCTTCATGGAAGTAGCTTTTTGCCGCAAAATCTGCAATACTGCAGACAGCAACTAAGAAAATAGAACTACAAGAGAGCCAAAGATATTTTTATTTACTGCTTCTCCTTGCTCCTCTCTCAGTGTATGTGAGTGTGTGTGTGTGTGTGTAAGAGAGAGAGAAATAGAGATTAACTGCTAACCACACTACAAGTGGTAAAAATGAATCAACCTGGACAACAACTTCGAAATTGAGATCCCGTATCTCCTTAAAAAGCTTGTCACTAACAAAATCCATACAAGTAAACATTATATCAGTGAAATACTATGACAAAATTGAAAATGGGCAAACCAAATAATAACTTTAAAGAAACAAAATATGGATGTATGAACTACGGGCTTAAAAGAGGATTCAGAGCAAAAAGTCATCCAGAAACCTTTTTTTTTCTACGCCAAAATAGAAAAAAACAATTATTGTAATATAGACGTCACTCAAGATCCACCACATCCTCTTACAACTTTGATTACATGCAAACTGAATTCAAGGTAGCCACTAGTCAAGAGTTTCAATTCCAAGAAAACTCAAACATTGTTTGACAAAAAACATCAATCAAGCCTTTACATATTTACTAAATATCATGTGATCGAGTCAATAAGGATTCCATCAATGAAATTAAAAAAAAGAAAAAGAAAAAAGGAAGGAATTAAAAGATGCGACAAAAATAAATAGGGAAAAAACCTTGTTGAAGTTGAGATCAAGTTTAAAATAATAATAATAACCCAAAATCCAATCATTATCTCATTGCGAGAAGTTGAAAACATGGATCAATTGTTTTGCCATTAATTATCTTTGTAATACTCTTCTTGAATATAAATAAGATCATTCTGCTGGGAGGAAAGCACACTCTAGGATATTCAAAAAATTTGTTTCTCATTCTTCCACAATATAAACTTGTATGATCTGCTACAATTAATGGTGCATAACGGCCTCATGAATCAAGTCAGGATATGGGTGTCAAAAAATTTCTAAAAGGAGAAATAATATGAATATCTGACAGAGAAACTTACTCGTTTACATATTGGAAAAGTTTCCAGCAAAAAAAATATAGAAAAAGTAACAAGAACATGATACAAAACATTCATGTGATAAAATAACCGTCTCATCGTATTGCTAACCAAATAGAGCAAGTGAGAAATGTAACTTACCTTGAATTTAGTGGAACTTTGGTTTTTTTCCCTTCTTGTTGGAGACCCATAATAGATGCATCAAGCTCTACAGAGCCATTATTGATGTGTAGAAACTGCAATTATACAAATTCAGTAAAATAGCCATCATCACTTCAAACATATTCATAGTTTGTGTCAATAACATTTACACAAACTAGAATAATATTCTTACGAAGACCAATTCATGGCACTACAACAATCCATGAAACTTGCTTATAATGCTAAAGCTCCTTGACAAAATCACCAAAACATGCAATGGAAAAACTTCCACATTGTAATTTGCAACATCACAAATAAAATATAGAAAGAGATTATTAAGCTGACAAACTTGTTTGAGGGATATTCTCAAAAGAAAAGCCTGATCAAATAACAAAACTTAATCTTTTATGCATAAATATTCATTCCTAAAAGTGAATGCTGATTCTGCATTAACTTGCCTCATCAAGTAGCCCCTCGTATGTTAGTTGAGAACACAAAGGCGTAACCATGTCCACCTGCATTCAAAGCATACCCAAATTCAATGACCACCACTCATGTGGATACCACTCATATCCAAACAACTGAAACCGTAAGACCTCAAAAATAATGCAAGTTAATGTTAAAATAGAAAATTTTGCGCGGATGTAGCAAGAACTAGTAATAAGTTGTTTAACTTCAATTTTTCAATCTCATGTACAAAAAACTTTCATTAACAATTTTTTATGAGGTAATGAAGGATAAATGTATTGGACAGGAAATGCCCTCTTTAAGCAGTAACAAACAAATTCATTAATTACACCATACAAGGGCACCGAGTATAACATCCCCAAAGAGACTATCAGTCCTGCATAATGGAGATGAGATGGAAAACAGGTTGTACCTCTCTATCTAAAAGGATTAGAGTATTTATCTCAGGCACAACTATCTGCATCAACAAAATGAAGAGAATCAGAGAATTACGTGGTGCATTTTAATTTTTAAATTAAACACAAATTAAAAATAGCTTTTGTTTGTCATTCTGCCATTCTAACTGGAAGAGAAAAAAAGAGTAGAGCATAATTACATCAGATGAGTTAACTGGTTCCTCAGCTTGCATTCGATTTAGGATGTCCGCAACACCCACTGATGCTTTTCCTTTTGCCCTCACATTTGGTATCACTCCAAAAGAAAACTACAAAAAATCAAATGAAATAATTATAAGAAAGTAAATATATACAAAGATTGAGATCACGTTAGATTCCATCATGTTAATGAGGATGATGGTATTTCATAAAAGGACAACTGTATGGGATTACTTCCTTTTGCTTAATGCTAATTGTTTATGTCTGAAGAAAATTCAACAATGTGCATTCAAAAGTACAACCTCAAGTTTGTGAATAGCTTTAGCAATGTGCCAAAGGGATCCTGTATCACCATCAACTTGGCATTCCTACCACAAAGAGAAGACAAATAAGAATAAGTAATTAGTCAAAGCAAATACAGACTATAAGAAATTTCAAATTCAATAAATTACAAACTATATAAATAATCACAAAGAGCAGAAGTATTAATGTGCAGCTTACTTTGTAAGAGAGATCAAGTTCAAATGATAATACATCTTCATCCATTGGTACAATATACAAGGGATATTCCCCAATTGTAACCATATGATGTAATTTCTCTTCCTCAAGAACCTACACGAGAAAAATATCCATTTATGCTGTTGACAAAGATATATGTTTGAAACAGAGAGGTAGCATCCCCACGTGGGAAATAGATTTGATTCCATGGAAAACTTACTTTCTCACAAACAACAGTGCGGCGGGGGACAAAATAAACATGATATTCTCTTTGCAGTCCTTTCGATAGATCATTATGAATATTAGAACATATGAATCTCATCAACTTGGGCTGAGCATGCACAAGGTAAACTACTTTGCTGCAGTCAGTCTGAATTGGATCACCAGAAAGATGTCGCAATTCAATTCCATGCTCCTGTTTGTAATACCGTGTGAACTCTCAATATCAACACAACAAATTAAAACATGCAAATAGGCTTCTATTCAGAAAAGAAGTATGATTTTCTTGTGTACCAATGTTGTCAAATAACCATTATAGCGCCACCATAACACTCTAACATGGCATTTTCTTACCCCTCCGCCATTGCAAATTTGTGGAGGGAGGCCCATTATGGTGGTGCCATAGGCCATAATGGCATGTTTATATGACGGAAATTTGGCATTCCACCATTAGTAACTTCATTCTGTAGGCACACAGAATGGAGTTACGTATTCATGTAGCAACCTCACTGAGTGGGATATGGCGTTCTTTTTAACAATTAAACATCCAACTAGCACAGCATTACAATGTTCCCAAATATATATATATATATATATATATATATATATATATATATATATATATATATATATATATATATATATATATATATATATATATATATATATATATATATATATATATATAACAGATTATCCATGAATTGTTATCGTGTTACATAAAACCCACTAAATTACTAAGGGCAAGAAAAGTGCCTTGAGAATGGATGTCTGTATAATAAGCGAGAGAGAGTCCCCGAGCTTCGGATCAATGACCAAACACTTCTTTCCACGAACCTACAAGAACACGAGATAAAAATCACACACCCTTATGAACTCAATGTTCAGTGCCGTTAAAGCAAAAACGATCAAAATCAAATAATAGAAACAGTCAATAGTCGAACGTCAAATCTTAATCTGAATCACATAGTCAAACAGAACTTCAATTATCTACGAACAAAAAAAATGGAGAAATTTAGAAACAACAATTACATTCTTGAGGATGTTGAGGAGCTCCTTTTGAGACTGTTCCCTGAACGCAACGAGAATAAATAATGATTAAATAAGTTGAAGTTGAAATTGTGAATCGTGTGAGCTTCAAAATGAATGGGAGGATGAGTAAGTGGGGAATTGACCTAATGGAAGTGAGATTGATGGGGGCATTATCAAGGTTAGGAATCTGAGCCATCGAAAGGAGGTAGCTCTGCTCTAGTCTCCAACAACACTACACAATTTTCGTTTTAGCAGAATGTTCGATCAGAGGACAATCATAATTGCTTTGCTTGGGAAATCACGTTTTGTTCGTTTTCCTTACGCTTCTCAGATGAGAGAACAAAGAAGTAGGTTCAAAGAAAACAAAATATATAAATGTGTTTGATTTGAAAAACAGAAAAAAAAAATGTAACAAGTTTTAAAAGTATTTTCAACTTACGGAATAAACAATGAAGTAAATTATACGAGAAATACCTGACATTGTTTAAATAAAATACTTGTCTTCATTTTATTTTTCTTTCGTCTACGAAAGTACCAACCACACTATTAAATTTCATAGTTTAACACAAGGCATTTCAAAAATCAATTTAATTTTGATAAAAAAAAATCTAATTTATAAACTAATAGTCTTTATGAAATTATGTTACATTACTTATCAAAAAATCAATTAATACAAAATTAATTTAAAATATTTCAATTACTCACGATATTCAATAAAAGTAACAAAGACTTTGTTATAATTCAAAAAATAAAAAATAAAAATATTGGCATTTGCTTCTTGAATAACTAACAATGACGCATTTCGATTTTAACATTTGAAATTAAATATTGTTGAATTACTCATAATATATTAATAAAAACAATAATTAAAATTTTATCAAAAAATAAAAAATGAATCAAAATCAATATTTTTTATTTTTAAATCTATTTTTCTCTAAGCATCAATTCCGGATTAGAAATAAAAACTATATACAAGTATTTTTCTTTAAAGTTGTTTTATAATTTTACTGTTTTTATTACAATATATTAACATTTATACAAATAGGAGCATAACCTAATCACAATCTCTGATTCATCGTTATCACGCTTCTTTATTTTAGAAATAGCGTAATTTTCAAGATGGGCTTGTATTTTAGATTCAGTGGAATTAGAGTCATGAGAAAAGATTTGTGTGATAGTGAATAATCAAAGAAATTGAAACAAGAAATAATAGAAAATAAGATTAGTTGAATCAAAGGAAAGATAATAAATATAATTTATCTGCGCTCTTAGGATATCTCTAATAATAATTAAAATATCTCTAATAGTAGTTGTTTATTAAAATATTAAATAAAATAACAATTACTTAAAATATTTTGTATTGAAAGAAATATAATATGATACATTGTTTAAAACTTTTTGTTACATATTTGATTAAATAACTTTAAAATAATAAAATTAATTAATTATTATTTTTTAATTAATTGTAGATTTTTTAAATATTACCATATAAAATAAATTTATATTTTATGTTATCAAACATAAAAAATAACTCATGAATTATTTTTAAGGAATATGTCTACGATTTCTATGTAAAAAATAACAAAAAAAATTTGAATTTTAATTTGAATTTTGAATAACTTACGGTTTTATTAAAATTGGTTTTTAAAAATTTTAAAGATAATATGAAAAATAATAAAATATACTTTATATTTTTATTAATAATATTTGATTTTACTTAGTAAAAATTAATAAGAAGATGTGAGATTTAATTAAAGAAATCGGTAAATTAAATTATAAACTCCAACTACAAAATGGTTGAAATAACTTTTAAATAGGTTTATAACTAAAAAACACTTAACCATTTGTTGAGAATTTATAATAAGATGAAATTTATTTTTTTACTCAGTCTCTTTATATACTTTAGGAGATAATAATAACTTAAAAAATAATAATTAATATGAAATAATAACATATAAAACATAATCAATAAAATAAAATGTAATAAGATAATTAAATAAATAAGGTGGTTATATTAAATTTGAACTGGTACGTATATAAATTTTCTAAACCCATAACCCGAGTTCCTTTATGAATATAGACCAAATAAATTTAATATTAAGTATTTTATTATATAAATAAATAGTGTTTAATTTGAACATATTTATTCTATAAATCATTATTCAATTATACTAAAATATATTCATAATATTTATTGAATAAAATATATTTATTTGTTATGCAAATACAATGAGTAGAAATTTTTAGAAATAAAAAATAACAGTAAGATTTTCACTCATTAAAGACCAAATAATCTCGAATGATATTTGAAGAAGAGACTCTCCCTAACTTTAAACTAAAATAAAAATTTGTCAGTCTAAAAATTGATTTGCATTTATCATATGAATTTATTGTGATTAAGAAAATAGAAATTATTTTCTTCAATAATGCAAGGATTAATAAACTAAAATTTTTACTAGTACCATATTATTTACTTTTATCCTCATAAAACTATAAAAATTGTTTTTAACTTTAATTTTTTTTTTGTTAATTCTTTAATTTAAAAAACAGTTTTCAAATTAGCATTATGTTATTGTTTTGCATTGTTCACATACTTTTTTACATTATTCACGGTACTGTACATCGTGCAATGTTCATTATTGAATATTAAATCTAAATATATATCAGAGGAAGATAAGTGCAGTTAAATGTTTTAATACTTAGGGAGAGGACACCATGCTTTAGAATGATTATGTTACCAAATGGATAAATAGATAGTTAATCTTAAAGTAAAAGGGGCAGAGATGGAGTTTGATGTATTAGAGGGTGATTTTGTTTATGATTAGGAGACTTATGAGAATTAAAAGGCAAGTCTTGGACTAAACTTAAATAGATAATATTTTCCATACTAAATGTATTATTCAAGGGAAAATATGTTCGTTCATAATTGATAAAGGAAATTACACTAATGTAGTTGCTAAAGACTAGTTACCAAATTGAAATTGGAAACAACATCATACCCTAGGTCATACAAACTTCAATGACTTAGTGAAGATAAAGATATGATAGTGAGCAAACAAGTGGAGGTGAACCTATCTACATCATGATAAGATAGTGTGATGTGGTTCTAACGGAGTCAACTCACATTCTTTTAGGGAAATCGTGACAATATGACATCAAAGTTATATATGATGGTTTTACTAATAAAATCTCTTTTGAATATCAGGATAAGAAAGTGATTCTCAAGCCTTTGACACCTAGAGAGGTATGTGAGGATTAAATCAAAATGAGAAAAAATAAAACAATAAAGAGAAAGAGTGAAACACTTGAGAGGAAAAAGAGTTGAAAGAGCAAGAGTAAAACATAAGAGAGAAGAAAGAGTGAAAAGAATAAGATTGAGGGTAAATACCTTTGTTTAGGAAGGGAAAAGAAAATACAAATGTAGTTTTGTGCAAGACAATCTTCTACTTATTGTTTTGTCAAAGTCAGATTTTACATTCTAATGCATTTGACAAGTTTGAATTGTCTTCTTATATTGAATCTCTTTTGTAGGATTACCAAAATGTGTTTCCTGCGAGTGTACTAGATGGTTTACCACTTATGAAGGGTATTGAACATCAATTTGATCTCATTTCGAGAGCTTTTTTGTCCAATTGGCCTGCATGTAGGAGTAATCCAGAAAAGACCAAGAAAATTGAAAGGCAAGTGACTAAAACTCATAAGAAAAGGTTGGTGAGAAATAACACAATGAATTGTTCACTTTTTGAAATTGTGTATGGATTTAATCTTTTGAATCATCTTAATTTACTGCCAATGCTTAACATTTCTATGTTTAAGTATCAAGAAGCATAGGCTAAAGTTTAATATGTAAAGAAACTATATGAACAAGTGAAAACTCTAATTGAAAAGAAAGATGAAAGTTATGTTAGACAAACTAACAACGGAAGAAGGTGATGTTCCAACTTGGTGATTGAGTTTGGATACACATAATAAAAAAAATTCCAAAATAAAAAAAATCTAAACTCCAACTTAGAGGAGATGGACTTTTCCTAGTGCTATGAAGATTAATGATAATGCCTACAAGATTGATTTCCCCAGTGAGTATAATATGAGTATCAGCTTTAATGTTTCTGACTTGTCCCTTTCAATGTAGATGATGAATCTTTGAATTTGATGACAAATGCTTCTCAAGAGGGAGGAAATGATGTAGACATAAGCCCATGAGAAGAAAGTTGAAGATCTAATTGAAGATTTAGTTGGACCAATAAACTAAAGGAAGACAATCCTCTACTTATTGTTTTGTCAAAGTCAGATTTTGCATGCTAATCAATTTGACAAGTTTGAATTGTCTTCTTATATTGACTCTCTTTTGTAGGATTATCAAGATGTTTTTCTAGGGAGTGTACTAGATGGTTTACCACTTATGAGTGGAATTGAACATCAATTTGATCTTATTTCAGGAGCTTCTTTGTCCAATTGGCCTGCATATAAGAGACCAAGAAAATTGAAAAGCAAGAGACCAAGAAAATTGAAAAGCAAGTGACTAAACTCATAAGTAGAGGTTGGTGAGAGATAACATGAGTCTGTGCGTTGTCTCTATCATTCTAATGCCCAAGAATGATGACTCATGGAGGATGTGTTCTGATTATAAAGTCATAAACAACATCACCATCAAGTATATGCATTCAATTCCCAAGTTAGATAATTTTCTTGATGAGTTTTATGGTGCATGTGTATTTTCTAAAATTGATATAAAAAGTGGTTATAATCATATTAGGATTAAGAGAATATGGTGAATGCAAAATTGTCTTTAAAACAAAATATGGTTTGTATGAGTGTTAGTTAAGCCATTTGGTTTTGCTAATGTGCTTAGCACTTTCATAAGATTAATGAATCATGTTTTAAGAGAGTTTGTTGGTAAGTTTGTTGTGCTATACTTTGATGATATTCTTATCTATAACATTAATCCTAGACTTGATTTGCATGTTGAACATTTTGCAATCAATTTTGAATGTGCTTAGGAATAAAATTGTATGTGAATCTGAAAAAAAATACATCTTTTATATTGATCATGTGATATTTATTGGATTTGTTGTTAATGCTAAGGAAGTACAAGTAGATGTGGAAAATGTTAAAGCCATCCAAAAATGGTAAACACCTAAGGCAGTGAGTGAGGTGAAAGGATTCAATGATTTAACAAGTTTCTATAGGAGATTT